GTTCAAGTAGCGGTGTTTCAACGTTCATCAGCAGCCTTGCTTCCCAAACGCTCCACCAGAAAAGCTTCCGTTCAATGACTAAGCTGTACACAGAAGCCCCGGGTGTCTGCAGGCCTTACTGCCAGGATGCTTGTTTAACTTTGCTGCCCCAGATTGCAGACATCTTGCCGTTTGACCTTACACCCCAAGCCCTCAACCCTTATCTGAAAACCTCGGCTCAATGACGGAACTGCGCAGGGTGGGACCAAGTGCCTGCAGCAGGCCTTACTGTAACTGTTTCCCAAGAAGAAAGGTGCATAGGAGGCTTGGGATAGAGCCAGCCATCACTGAGAAACCTATGTCTTCGTGGCACACCGTGCGGAGTTTGTACTTCATGCGCCAATTGCGTTGTTGTGGTGGCCGCAGTTTCGCAGATATTGGAGACTTGGACCAGAGTAACACTAAAAGCCCTACATTTTGGATCCTCAACCTGAAAGAGCAAAGTTGGATCAGCCTAGATGCGGAAAGGGTCAGGGCGCTGGAAGGGCATAACTTTACCTTGAGCTGCCGGCCCTTCAGGGTTACCCCTCCCCTTACAAATGGAACCACAAAAGGCGGGCTACATAAACTACTGTCCTTTCAGCAGGGCGCTATACAAGGTTCCAGGCTAAGTGTAGTGAGGATGCAAGTTCGGACATGTCGCTCTGTTGGCTGTACTACTTGCTCAAGTTGCTGTCCTCTGGTTGCGTGCCGTGTTCTACGGACTGCAACGGTCGTCTCAGATGTCGGCCGAAGCCAAAACGCTCAGAGCCGGAAAGACATGCGAGAACTTGGCACATGGAACGCAACAGCATCCAGATTAGAAGGCCGCCGTGCAACCTGCAAATTTCTAGCTCATCTGCGCACCTGTCGGAACATGACTCACAACATGCAGCGTCTGGGTCGGGCCCACCTTCATAACCTCAAGCATCCAGCCTTCTGTTCATTGCATGCTTGACGACCAGCTGCCAATCTCAAGGTGCTTTCTTTGATGTCAAAAGTGTATGTGTGTACTCATCCTTGCGCAGCTTTTAAGCAGGCCGTTTGTAAGAGCTTCGTTGTTGTGGCAGCCGGCTTTGCGGATCCCATTTGATCCAGTTACTTGTGAACAAGCAGGCAGTCACAAGCAAGCCGTGTTTGGCGGTGATGCTCTGTGCGGCTGCCTAAGAAGCGGCAGACTGCAATGGGAAAGCCACAACATGAACAAATCAGCCAGCACTCATCAAGTCTCCCGCTCATGTACCTCAGCATTCCGGCCGACGAAGCTACCATGGAGGACACAAGCTTGCTGCACGAGCTATAGTCTAAATTCCTTCAAGGCGGATTATATAGAGGACTACCAGTGGTGACATTCAGGCGGACACTAGGAGATTTTCGACTATAGCTCACATGTGTCAGCGAAATGCTAAGCCTCAAACGTTCTCTTGAGCAGGACCATGGCCTGAAACTCCATGAGCCTACATCGCGCAGATCACCCTCGTGCTCTCATTTGCGCATAGACTCTCCTTTACGCCCGTGGCTCAGTTCGTTCAGTATTCCAAAATTCACCACTCGATTTGCTTGAAAACCTGCCCAGCTGAGTCTTCGTAGGGAAAGAAGGCGTGGATCCCTACATCAGTGCCCGTATGGAACTAGACATAATGTTGCAATGTAGTAGTTGTTTCCATTTTCTTGTTCATTCCTTGACTCAACCCCTGAACCCTACACCTTTACATCCGAAACGCATGAGGTAGTAGTTTCATGTTCTTTTCCTCCCTTTCATTTCCTACGAACAAAGTATGTTGGCTCAAAGAAGCTGCAGGCTGCGGTAGCCATTAAGTAGATCAGTCAGCATGGCTAGCTTTCCTTTGAAACTGCCAGTGTTGACTTCACTTGAGACTGGGTGGCTATTAAGGAGCTAAACTTAACCTACCATACTGTGGTAGTTTTCCTAAATAGAGTGACCCCAGTTATTATATACCCCAAGATGCTATAGTCCTGAGTATGGGGACCCCTCTCGAAGGTACCTCTAATTTTGGGAAACCCCCATGTGGAGATATAGTCAATAATGACGGGGTTCCCTAATTATCGTAGCTAAGTCCAAGCCCTAGACCTTAAACCCTAAACCCTTTTACAACTGCAGCCTAGGATATCTTGACTGGACTCCCGGCATCATCACAGCGAAGCATGAAGGCTACATCGAAAACCCTCAGGCGCATGATGGAGTCCGAGGTCTTCCTTGTGACCATGCGTTCATACCCCAAGGACCTTGACTGGGCAATTTAAAGTGACCTCACCCAACCTCACCCTTAGGCAGTAGTACCAAAATGGCCTTAAATTGGGAATTGAAATTATCCTAAATTACAACCCAAGGAGGTCGTGGTTCGGAGACCTGAGACTGGCAAGAAAATGGTCCAACAGGTGGGTTTCAGGGTTTAGGGCTTTAGGGTTTAGGGATTTAGGGTTTAGGGTTTAGGTTTTGAGGTTTAGGGTTTAGGATTTAGCGGACAGGCTAGACATCTCATCAATGCCTTCATGACGCCTTCATGCCCGATGGAGTCCATCCGCTTGGAGCTGGAGAAGCTGGAGGAAGCGGACAAGAAATCGATGTCCTTTGAGAGCCCTTACTACAAGTTTCTGGGTTGCTGTTAAGGAACTTAGATTAGGTTATTATATTAGGGAAACCCTATTATTTACTATATATACCCATTATGGTAACTTCATTTTAGTTCCTTAACAGCAACCCAGGTTTCTGCAGCTGCGAGTGGGTGGTGAGGACCCCTCAGGAGGCGTTGAATCCGACCTTCAACTTAATGGTCTCTTGGTTCTTCCGTGCTGTACGCTCTTTTGAGCTTCTATTGCGAAGCTAGCTAAATGGGATACGAAGTTCCCTAACTCCCTCCACCCCAAAGTCTTAACCTCCAGCCCCGCACGTATACCCCTATTTACCCCCACATGACCTTATTAGAAGCCTATAGAACCCTAGCCTTTTGAAATCAGGCCTCTCTCAGCCGCAAAGATACTCAACATCCGAAGAACATTAACTACTGATTGCAAGTCGGCGAACCATGCATCAAAGTAACCCAGAGCCAAACAAAGAGAACCCCAAGGAACACCAGGATCGAAAGGAAAGATGGGTGACCAAGTAGACATACATCTGCAAGGCACTCTGCTGTAAGAGCTCTGGTCCAGAATGGACCGCCGCATGTGGAACAAAGTAGCTACAAAAAAACCGGGTCATGCTCTTGCTTAGCAGGCGCTACCCAAGCGGAGAGTGCTTGCAATGTTTTCATGTTGCTGAAGCGCTGTCACAGAAGCCTAGCCAGAACCTCAGGCGGCACCCGCATCCTGTAATAGTGGTAAAATAGGAATAGAAGAGGTCCCTGATGTAATCACCATGCCTTATAGTCACGATTAGTTGCTGGGGGGTCGACCTAACCAAGAACCCATACCCAAAACCCTAAACTTTAAAACTTAAACTTTTAAGCCCTAAACCCTAAACCCAGGATTGGATCCGAAAGATGCCGGCCCTTTGCGCAAGGCTTGGTGGGCTTCGGTGCGCTGCGTCCTGGATGGCTTGCCCATTCCTTCCTCAGCACGTATCCTTCTACTTGGAGCCTTGGCTTAGGGTTTAGGGCCCTCAACCAAAAAAACACCTAAAACAAGGTTTGCGGTCTACCAGTAGGCTCCCCTGCAGTTATTTTTTTCGTGTGGAGCCACATTGGAGGCCCTTGGGTAAATTGGAGGTTTAGGATTAGGGTTTCTTAACCGAGGGGAGAGCCTTGGGTGCTTTTGAAGGGGTTTGGCTGCAGTTCTCTGCAAACCAGAGGATCCATTTAAGGATTCTGGTTTCAGGGATCTAAACCCAATGACCCTAAACCCTAAACCCCATATAACCCTAAGCCCCTAAAGCCTAAACCACATAATCAACCCTAAACTCTAAACCCCATAACCCCAACCCCTGAAACCCCTCTATAATCACCATCCCCTGGTTCCCCTTGATTTGCTTAAATCAGCATTAGTTATCACTTACTAAGCTCAATTATGGGGAACATCTAAAGCTCAGTTATGGTGGAGATCTAGCGGGGGTGGTGTAGGGGGGGTAGTAGGGGACCCAAGCCGTTTGGGATTTAAGGCTGATGCTTCTGGAGTGATCTTGCCGTAGTTATGAAGGAGATTGATTGGGGGAGCGGACTACCCTAACCCCTGAACCCGAAGCCCAAACAAGTTAGCGAATATGGTCATCATGCTATTGACAGACAACATCCCGCATGACCTCTACATCCACCAAGCCTTAGGAATTATGGCCTCCGACCTAGACCCTTAAAGCCTGCCCCTCTTTTTGGGTGTACCTAACTTTATGGCTTGTATCTTCTATATACAAAATTTGGTACCCT